TCAAGTCACTACATTTTGTATGACCTCCGTAAGAATATACATATACAACAAAACGCTCCGATTTCTTGGTAAACTCTTTATACAAAAGTGACTTTTTCAATAAAAAACATTAACCACATGTCGAGAAATACAAGTTCTCGTAGCCTCGTCCTCTTTCTCTCTTTCCTTCTTTTTCCTCTTTTCCTTTCTTTCTTCTTCCTCTTTGTACGCCCTTTACTTACACTTCGATCATTACTATTCCGCGTGCGATCATGATTCTCTCATTTGCAAATTGCCGCCCGATGGAGAAGCAGAGATCGCTTCTAACAACAAACAGACGGGGATTTTCTTGCACTCGTGATTCATGTGCGGGGAATAAAAGTGTGGGTGGTTGCCTCACGTGTTCAAGGTAGTTAATGAATGAATGATTATGGTTATTTGTGAATAGGATGTTCAAGGTTATTGTTTACTGAATGAATCAATGTTATCAATAATCAAGGAATTATTGTTGTTAGTTTTACTGTTTATATATGAACCATTCTTTTTAAAAATGTATTGCGTTAAATGAATGAGGATAACGATTTCGTTGAGAATTAGGTCAATAAAAGAATAAATAAATATATATATATATATATATATATATATATATATGCATATATAAACTAATTAATCAATAGTTCAAATTAATGTATTTCAAGTGAAACATTCGTTTAAGAGCATATAATTCTGAAGGTATCAAGAGAAAACAAAACATATCCACAGGTCAAGTCACTACATTTTGTATGACCTCCGTAAGAATATACATATACAACAAAACGCTCCGATTTCTTGGTAAACTCTTTATACAAAAGTTTATATTCTTGACTTTTTCAATAAAAAACATTAACCACATGTCGAGAAATACAAGTTCTCGTAGCCTCGTCCTCTTTCTCTCTTTCCTTCTTTTTCCTCTTTTCCTTTCTTTCTTCTTCTCCCTTTTACTCCCTCTATTTACACTTCGATCATTACTATTCCGCGTGCGATCATGAATCTCTCATTTGCAAATTGCCGCCCGGTGGAGAAGTAGAGATCGCTTCTAACAACAAACAGACGGGGATTTTCTTGCACTCGTGATTCATGTGCGGGGAATAAAAGCGTGGATGGTTGTCTCACGTGTTCAAGGTAGTTAATGAATGAATGATTATGGTTATTTGTGAATAGGATGTTCAAGGTTATTGTTTACTGAATGAATCAATGTTATCAATAATCAAGGAATTATTGTTGTTAGTTTTACTGTTTATATATGAACCATTCTTTTTAAAAATGTATTGCGTTAAATGAATGAGGATAACGATTTCTTTGAGCTTCCTTGAGAATTAGGTCAATAAAAAAAGAAAGAAAGAAAGAAAAAAAAAAAAAAAAAAAAAAAAAAAAAAAAAAAAAAAAAATATAAATATATATATATATATATATATATATATATATATATATATATATATATATACATATATATACATATATATATATAAACTAATCAATCAATAGTTCGAATTAATGTATTTCAAGTGAAACATTCGCTTAAGAGTTTAAGAATTCTGATAGTATCAATTTAAACTTTCTCCCAATCCTCTATCTCTATCTATCTCTCTTACTCTCACTCTCACTACTGTCTCTCTCTGTCTCTGTCTCTCTCCCTCTCTCTCTCTCCCTTTCCCCCTCCTCTCTTCTCTCCAACCACCCCTCCCATCCAACCACTCCCTACCCTCGTTCCACCCCCCCCTCCTACTCCCACCTCTCTTTCCACCTTCCCCCAAGCAGAATTTCTTTTTGTGAAAACTTAAACTGTATGAATTATGTTTCTTCGTGTGCATACACACACACACACACACCACACACACACACACACACACACACACACACACACACACACATATATATATATATATATATATATATATACATACATATAATGTGTGTGTGTGTTTGTATAATACATATACATATATGTGTGTATACATATATATGTACATATATATGTATATGTAAAAATATATATATGCATGTGTATATATATGTATGTATATACACACATATATGTATATATATTATACACACACACACACACACACACACACACACACACACACACACACACACACACACACACACACATACACACACACACACATATATATGTGTGTGTGTGTGTGTGTGTGTGTGTGTGTGTGTGTGTGTGTGTGTGTGTGTGTGTGTGTGTGTGTGTGTGTGTGTATGTATGCACACGAAGAAATAAAAATATATTCATACAGTTTAAGTATTCACAAAAGAAATTCTGCTTGGGGAAGTGGAAAGAGAGGTGGGGGGAGGTGGAACGAGGGTAGGGAGTGGTTGGATGGGAGGGGTGGTTGGAGGTGGGAGAAGAGAGGGAAAGGGAGAGAGAGAGAGAGAATACAGAGAGAGAGAGACAGTGAGTGAGAGTGAGAGTAAGAGAGACAGATAGAGATAGAGGATTGGGAGAAAGTTTAAATGGATACCATCAGAATTCTTAAACTCTTAAGCGAATGTTCCACTTCAAATAGAGTAATTCGAACTATAGATTAATTAGTTTATTTATATATTTTTTTCCTTATTTCTTTTTTATTGACCTGTCTCATTCTCAAGGAAGCTCAAAGAAATCGTTATCCTCATTTATTTAACGCAATACATTTTTTAAAAGAATGGTTCATATATAAACTGTAAAACTAACAATAATAATTCTTTGATTATTGATAATAACATCATTGATTAATTGAGTAAACAATAACCTTGAACATCCTATTCACAAATAACCATATCCATTCATTCATTCATTAACTACCTTGAACACGTGTGTGTGTATAGGTATATGCATATATATGTATATGTGTGCATATATATACATATATATATTTATATATATATATATATATATATATATATTTATGTCACACACATATATATGTGTGTGCATTTATGTATACATATGTATGTATATTTCCACAGACAGACAAACATATATACATATACATATATATACATGCATATATTTGTATGTGTTTCTGTTTGTGCGTGTGTGTTTGTGTGTGTGTTTGTGTATGTGCGTGTGTAGGAATGTGTATGTATACTGGTATATTTATATACATGTTTATATATATATACATATGGACACACACACACACACACACACACACACACACACACACACACACACACACACACACACACACACACACACACACACACATATATATATATATATATATATATATATATATATATATATATACATATATATATACATATATGCATGCCTAACTATACGTAGAGTCACGCACACGCGCATATAAATAAACATGCAAGTTTATGCAACGAGAACACGTATTCAAAGTTGACACAACATGCAGCCATTTCCGTCGCCGCCTCCGCAACAGCTTAGGACTGCATCGCTTGGAAAAGTCTTCGAAGGAGACATGTTTTTCCGGACTACCCCGGTGAGACAGAGGACCAAGGTCGTGAACTCTGCTATTATAAAAGTCGAGTCCGTGCTGAACCTGGGTATCAGTTGCAACGACCCCTTCTCTGGAGCAACCAAGTCTCAACACTCATCATGAAGTTGGTACGTGTTAAGTTTTCATAGATTTTTAGGTTTGGTTGTAATATTGCTTTCTGAGTTGGTCGATAATTGTTGTTTTGTTATAGATTGGTGTTTAAGTATGCTTTTAGTTTGCAATAGAATCATTTGTATATGTTCTGATACTGTCGATATGGTCAGGTTAATTCATAAATTGTATATATTGTCGTGCAGATAAAAGTTACTGGAACAAAGTTAAGATAGAGTTAAGAGTGATAGACAAATCTCTCTTTTTTTAATGGTGATCCATCGTTTTGCTCTTAGCGACATAAGGGTACGATGATCACCACAAGTGACGACTTTAACACCTCTAAACTTTAAAACTGAATATATTAAACGCTCCCTTTCATTAAACGGTTTCAATATTCTAAAATACCGATGAGATTATTCAAAACCGGACCAATATCCAACCAAGAGCATGAAACGCACATTGTTCCATCACAATTCCATCTCCCTCACAGCTTAGTCTCGCACATGGCTCTCCTGCTGGTGTTGTCTGGCGTCCTGTCGCCCAGCCAAGCCATGCCGGCGCCCTGGCTGACTCCGAATCCCGAAAGCAGAAAGCAGCAGCCGACCGTGGATCCGTTCTCTTCAAAAAGAAAGAAAGTATGGCTACGGGCGGCGTATGGCTGATTGGCGGCGGTATGGCGGGATATGGCGGTTATGGCCATGGCGGATATGGCGGTTATGGCCACGGCGGATATGGGTTATGGTCGGCGGTATGGCGGGGTGGCACGGCTATGGCGTTATGGCACGCGGTTATGGGCGTTACGCGGGATACGGAATACGGAAAATAAGACAATAACGTTTATCGTCAACTTTTTGTTGCTTTGCAAGCTTCACCTTGGGTGTAATTGTATGCCTGTCTCTGCTTGTCTTACCTTTAATTAGCTGGATAATATGTTACAATATCCTCACATAAACACGTATATACAAATCAGAGACTAGAGGTATACAGTTTTCTCTAATCCCTAATGAATCATAAAACCAGCAGAGAGGAAAAAGAGAAAACAAAATATTCACAGTCAAGTCACTACATTTTGTATGACTCCATAAAAAAAAATATATAATAATATATATATATATATATATATATATATATATACAACAAAACAATCCCATTTCTTGGTAAACTCTTTATACAAAAGTTCAGACGCTTACTTTTTCAATAAAAAAAAAAAAAAA